ATACAGTTTCTGTTTATGCCAGTGCTGGACCTCTATCCTACCTTAGTGCAGTGGGATGAATGGATTTGCTCTCACAGCATGGTCACTCTAGCTGAGGTTTGTACTTCAGTTACATTATGGTAGACATGCTCTGCTTAACTAATTTCCTCACACAGCAGATTACCTTCTTTTAGCTCTGTCAGTCTTTGCATTTGGGCTGCGTGGCTGCCCCAGTTCATCCTAGAGATGACTGTGCTGTAGCTCTGGCTACAATCATTTCTTTGTGTTTGTCAGTGCTGTCTACAGCTTTGGCATTAATTATGTACCAGATAGCATCACGGAACTGTGGAATGACAGGAGGGGAACCTCTGGAGGTCCCTGCTCAAAGCAGGGAGAACTTTAGTTAGATCCAACTTGAGAGGCAGGCTGTGTTGCTCAGATCCTCATATGACAAGTTTGGAGACATCCTGAATTCAGATTTAGCACTAGCTGTCTCCAAAACACAACTCACTCCCTCTTCTTAGTACTGGAAACCCAAAAGAGGTTTAATTTAGTTGTTTACTCATTGAGAGATAACGTGGCTATAGGTTATAAAGCCACAATTTGCTGAGGCCATAGGAAATTAAAGATATTCTGAATTAAACACAACCCATTAACCTAGAACACCACGGAAAACTTCAGCTTCTTTTTCTAGCCTAATACCAGAGGGGCCATGTCACAAAAAAAATAACGATGTAATAATTACCATAGAGATGATCATAAAGGGGATCTTTGCAGCGTAGCTCAAAAGTTCGCTTAACACTGCTTACGCAAAGCAATTTGGTACCATCTACCACAAGGTCTGCTATTTCCTGAAAGCATCTGCCGAGCAGCATTTCTGCTGCAAAAGGAAGGCTTTGGCTGATAACAGCCAGCTCTCCAACAGCCATTTACCTGAGAGCTCTTCTGAGACTTCCCATTTTCTAACTGCAAGAAGAAAGCGACGCGCGCCTCACCGCACTTGAAAACGTCTCGGTAAATTTCCCTGCATCTAAACTAGGCTGAACAAGTTACTTCCTAGGCACACTGACCCCTCGGGGGAACTGCACAGTCTACTTCAGACTCCATCCACGTTACAAAGCCCTAATTTAGTCCTGATGTTTTTCCACACGGAAGCCGGTTTTCACAAGGTCACCCCCAACAGAGACAGGAAATTTTGTACTCTTCCTGTGCAGACCTTGAGTTTTGAAAAATGCTTTTGCTTTCCAGCATCATCTGCATGCTATTTTTTCCCATCCCACTTACATTAAATGGTCTGTAGCAACGGTTGTAATTTATGCAGCTATTTTCGGGGCTTACATGTGATGCCACCACCTTGATTTTAAATGCTGCTTTTAAATGAATGCTCTCAAAACCACTGGATGGCTTTGACTGGGGAACGGAGGCTGTGTGGTATGGAGGCAAAACTGGGCTGTATTTGGTGGCAAACCGAAGCATGGAGAAAAAAGGGAAAAGGGCTGAATGCACATTACAGTCAGCCATCTTTCTATTCCTGGGCACATTCCCTTATTTTGCAGTGTGTTTTGAAAAGGTGATGTGTGCCTGTCTCTGAGCATTAGTGCCAATACCTAAACAGGACAATGAATGAGGTCTGTAGGTCTGTACTTGCCCTTCTCATAGTGCACATGTCCTTGACTGCTCTGCTTTCCTCCACTGCAGTGACAGCACTTCTCACACAGGAGGAAATACTCAGCTCGCGTCTTCCTGGAGAGCAGCAATTTCCCTGTTCTCATAACTCAAGTGTTCCTCACCAAACAGCTGCAGCATCTCCTCAAATGGTGGAATATATGGGTTTATTTTGGTGCTCTTTCCCCTTAAAGAACTGATCAGATTAGTGCGAGGGAAACATACCTAGAGCATCTTCAAGAGCAGCTGTTCTTTACAGATCAGCCCCAGGAAACCTTTTGTCTGTTTATACTGCAAATTAGCAGGACGTAGGCTTCTGTATCCTGAAATATTCTGTCATATCCCATTAAACAAGTGGAGAAGTGAGCCTCGGTTCCGAGCTGCAGATTGCAAATGCAAGTGAGAGGGGAGCAAACAGTCCCTTCAGCGCTCACCTTGCTGCGTTTGCTGAGGTTCACATCATGAATTACCTTTATCTGCGTTACCTTGTCCATGTGGAGCTTCTCAGCAATATCCTTAGGAAAAAAAAATAGCTGTATTTCGTGTTGGCTTTCATGTATTTATTTATTTATTTTACTAGAAGTAACATCATTCTTAACTAAGCTGATTATAGAATCACAGAGTGCCTTGGGTTGGAAAGGACATCAAGGATCATCAAGCTTCAACCCCCTGCCATATGTAGGGCCACCAATCTCCACATTTAATACCAGACCAGGCTGCCCAGGGCCCCATCCAACCTGGCCTTGAACAACTCCAGGGATGGGGCATCCACAACTTCTCTGGGCAGCCTGTGCCAGCACCTCACCACTCCCTTCCCCCTGATATCCAACCTCCATCTTCCCTCCCTCAATTTCAAACCATTTCCCCTTGTCCTGCTGTTATCTCCCCTTTCTAAGAGTTGACTCCCCTCCTGTTTGTAGGCTCCCTTTAGGTACTGGAAGGCTGCAATTAGATCACTCTGCAGCCTTCTCCATGCTGAACAACCCAGCTCCCTCAGCCTGTGGTTCATAGGGGAGGTGCTCCAATCCCCTCATCATCTTTGTGGCCTTCCTATGGATCCTCTCCAACAGCTCCTGATATGCATGGGTTGTATAAAAACACATAGGATATCTATGAAAAAGCTATTATTTTCTAACCTGTGCCTGGCCGGAGTGAAAGCAAGCTGTGATGTTTGGTTTTACATCTGCACTGTGTGTGTATGTTCTCATTTTAGCACCGTGACCCTGATGGCTGTGGGCTCCTGGTTCTGGGGGTTTTCCATCTGGAAGTTCGGATGGAAGCTGGCATTCCTGATCCTGCATTCATCACACTGAGCAATAAGCCAGGGCCTGTGGTCTTCTGTCACTGGTAACTGACAGTAATAATAGTCTCTCAGTTGTCATAAGAGGATGTGAACAATCCTTGTTTGGGTAATGAAGAATTCAGTCCCATCTGATGACTGTCAGCTGAGATGATCTCAGAAGGAAGGGATTCTGCCCACAAATCGCCTTTCCCTCTCCCCAGCAGCATTTCTGTCCTTGTCCCTTCCTGCATTCCTCCTCCCCCATGCTCACCTCACACAGCAGCCTGCACTGGGAGGCTTTGCCCACATCGCAGTGGTGCGGCTTGGAGCGAGCTGTACAGCTCATGCAGACAACACACATCCCAGTGCTATTGAAATCTCAAAGCTTAGGCCAGGCTGGATGTGGGCAGCCTGGGCTGCTGGTTGATGACCTGCACACAGCAGGGGGTTGGAACTGGATGGGCATTGTGGTCCTTTTCAACCCAGGCCATGCTGTGATTCTGTGATTCCTGCTTTTCTCAGGAATCACAAACAAAGGTTTATTCATAGAGCAAATTCACACCCATTCTACTGTGCCGTGGCAATTCTGGGACAGCAGCAAGCACAGCACAGGCACTGCACGTTCATTTTTTGCTGGCCTCCTTCTGCAGGAGCCAGGCCAGAACAGGGGCTGTGTTCTTGCTTCCCATAGCGGCAAAGGTGGTGCTGCAGGAGGGCACAAAGGAAAGTGACTCATCCCTGTGATCATTAATTAATTAGTGCCCTGCTGCTCCTCAGGGCAGGCCAAACTGATCATACGTGAGGAAAGCTGACACAGAGAAGTAGAAAATTCGGCTCACAAAGGAGCTTGGAAGGTGCTCAGTCCCAAATGAGTCCTACCTGCTCCTTCGATACGATGAGATAATGGCCTCAGCCAGCACAAGGGGAGGTCCCTGTTGGATATTGGGAAGCATTTATTCTCCAAAAGAGCAGTGATGCAGTGGCACAGCTGCCCAGGGAGTGGTGGTCACTGTCCCTGGAGGTGTTCAGAGCCACAGGGATGTGGCACTGAGGGATGTGGGCAGTGGGCATGGTGGGCTGGGTGGGGGTTGGGGATCTCAGAGGTCTTTTCCATCTCAGAAATGACTCACCCTGGTGAAACAGATGCTTCACTCCCAGATGTGGACCAGTGAAGCTTTAGAGACTGACTGCAACCAGCATGCACCCCATGGATGCCGGCCAAAGGCAGCACCTGCACCCCAGCACCCAGACGAGGTGCTTCTGCCCATCAGTGCTTTGCCACCTCCAGGTTTCTGAGGTTTCCAGTGCTGCTTGCTGAGCCAGCAGACCAAGAGCCATCCATCCTGCTGAAAGGAGCAGGCAGATGGCAGCCACCCCTCCCTCTCACCTCCCTGTCATCAGACAAGTGTATTTTTAGCCTTTTCCCTGTGATCTTTAAAACAACTCCAGACACACAGGTGCACTTTTGTAAGAAGGCCAAAAGACAAATCTGTAGCAGATTTGTGCACTCCCTGGTCTGTTAGCATGCCTTGGGCAGCAAAGGCATCTGCTGCCCAGAACACACCCTTCCCCAGCACCCCCTCCATGCTCCATCCCAGAGCAAAATTCACCAGCAAAAACAAACATTGCAACAACAACAACAACAAAAAGAGATCTTCCAGCCCCATCTGCCCAAAGGAGGAGGGATGCTGAGCAGGAGGGCAGCTGCTACTCACCTGTCCTCAAGATTTCTCCCTTTCTCTTCCTTTCAGGGCTGGGGACAGAGCTGAGCAGGAGTTGGGTGCGGCAGAAAGCATCCGAAGCTGATGGTGCTACCAAGAGCTCGAGCTGCACTGCCAGCTGCTCGCTGCTCACGTTGTTTAATTCAATTTATTAAGCAAAGATCAATACTGGATGCACAGCCTCCATCTCTGTCTTAGAGCATGAGCTTGGCCCAAGTGTCCCAGGTGGACAACAATGCAGGGACCCATCTCCTGGTGATGGAGCTTGTTGATCATCCTGCTCTGACTTCTGAGTTTAGGATGATGTACTTCTCTTGGTAAGTAAAAAGTATGAGGTTTCACAGCTACCACGGTTTATTAATTTGTCTCTTTAATCTAATTCTCTGCTCTCTGTGGAGAGAGATTAAATAAATCACATGTAGCCCAAGTTACAGGAAAAGCCAGCACAGTGCAAGGGGAAAAATACAGAACTGCAACTCAGGAGAGTCAAAACTCATTAAAAAATATGGGTAAAGAGTTTGTAGTGACCACAACCTAAAATAATAAATACTTCATGAGGAGGAATTTACCCCTCTTTTCTGTACATGGGTGAGGAATCCAGTGGAAACTCCTTGTAGAGCTGTAAATAAGCAGGGATTGCGATGCTGTGTGTTCTGGGGGGTTCCTCTCTCATCCCACTGCTTTCTTCCATACAGAGCTGGCTTTGCAAGGCAAGACCTGGAACGGCAGAACGTGGGGAGCAGAGTGCTGAAGCAAACCTGCTGGTCAGTCACTGCAACCCTCACTGTGCCAGGGGGAGAGAGCCTGGTGTGCATGGCACTCAGCTGTGAGGCCATGATGCTGAGTTGCTCGCTGCTTTTCCGGGCAATAATTGGATTGGAAAAGAATAAATCATTATTATTTTTAACAGAGCCATTATCCCGTCCTCATCCTAAAGCTTCTGCTAACCTCTGGCAGCACAGCTCAGATCCACGTGGCGCCTTTTAACCCCAACCAGCTTTAAAATATTAATCCTCATGCAAAGCACAGGGTGTCTCATAGCCATGGTGGTCCCATTTGGGAGGAAAATAAGCGTGTTATGATGTCTTCACAGTGATTTTTTTTTTGCCTTTTTTTTTTTTTTTTTTTTTTTTTTTTTTTTTTACCATTTTCACAGTTAACATTAAAAAAAACCCCATGCATCACTATGCAAAACGAGCTCTGACTCTAATTATTTTTCTCTGGGAAAGAGAAGGGATGCGGATGATTTCCAAGTGGGAGATGATACTATTAAAACAGTCAGATGGCTCTTGCTGATTCCTTTTTTCATGAAGAATTGTTGACTAACCTGGAAACACACCAGGAAGGGGTCCCTTTGGATTGAAAAGGCATTGCTCTCTAGAGTGATACCGCCAGTAGAATTGCAATCGATGGCTTTCACAGATCCCATTGTGAACCCCAGCAGCAGCGGGCGGTGGACACGTCCCCATCCCACACCACATCAGGGTGCTCTGGCCATGATAAACCTGAGCACGGCACTGCCTGGAGGTCCCCTTTCTTCCCAGCCCTGATCCTGCTGCCTGTGGCTCTACCCTCACCTCTCTTCCTTCTGCTTTCCACCAGGCACACCGTGGAACATACAAGGGTTAATGCACCCCCTTTCAAGATGCTTGCATGCTGAGCCTATCTGGGGTTCCACGTAAGCCACATCCCTGACTTTGGTAGGGTATGGACCAGCTCACCCTCCCTCCAAGCAATGCAGTCAGCAGTGCCCCGTCGTGTTCTGCAGACAAACGCTTTGCACCCACAGGAGCAAAGCGATGGTAGGACCTCACCTTCTCCCAGCAGTGGCCATCAGCCCTCCTCTGTGTCTTCATCCTCCGTGCGCTCAATGGATCCCATGGTCAGAGAACAGACCTGCCACCAAATGGTTTCACTGGGTAAAGCCTTAATTAAAATGCAGAAGCTCCAGATGAGTGTTTTAGTGAACAAATGCCATTAATCACATTTTCAAAGAGCTGTACGACTAAAATTAATACATCCTTCCTCCATTTCTACTGGTCAGTCCTCCCCAGAGATAGTTCCACTTCTCGACCATGGATGTACCTATGCCAGCCACAAACCTGGCTGCAGCACAGCCTGTCAGCACGAGCCCTTCCCAACCACTGCTCGATTCTCCTCGAGGTCCAACCAACACACCACCAACTCCAAGGCAGGGGCCAGTGGGGCCACAGGCACGCCAAGCTCTTCTTCCAGCATCAACAAAGAAATTGTGCTGAGCTTCACTTGGGTGAACACCTGGAAGCTGTGGGATCTCTTGCCTTCCTTCGAAAACCATTTGTTGTTGTTGTGGAGCTGTTTCCTGAAATGACAGCACTGAAAGGTTTGAGTCGGTGTCTTTTTTACCTGTGAGCAAAGAAAGAGGAGCTGAGATACCTGCAGCAAAGGGAGCCCTGGAACAATAGTGGGTCTCAGTCTGCAAAGCGTATCTGGGGAAGGGGAGAGCACAGTGCATTCATGTTGGAGATGTTTTGGTTATGATTCCCCATGTGATGACAGTGCAGTCACAGCTGAGAATTATTCATGGTATCCAAACTGATCGTTGATAAAAAGAAGGAAAAAAAAGAAAGGAAACAGAAAGAAGCTGTAAGGCAGAGCAGCACCTTCTGCCAGCTCAGGGCTGGGCTGCCCCTGAACCACCTCCACGAGATGGTATTGCACCCAATGAACAAATGTGGCTGAGGCTTGGAAACTTCATCTCCCTTCACCATCCAGATCCCTTGGATGGTTTCCGAGGCCTCGAAGTGAAGCCCTGGCAGCTGCTCCCCACCCATCTGTGAGTCTTTAGCCAACGTGGACTACAGCTGTGATATGGGCAGAGAGAAAGGAGCCTGAGCATTGCAGCAAGGACGCTGGGCATCTCGTGCTCAAGCAAGATGAAGAAGCACAGAGGATGAATGTAAAGCCTTGTGCATAGAAGCTCTCTAACAGATGAGTGAAGCACTGAGCCACAGAATCATTATGGTTGGAAAAGACCTCTAAGACCACCAAGTGCAACCCCAACCCATCCCCACTAACCACATCCCTCAGTGCCACATCCCCACAGTTCTCCAGAGGCAGTGACCCCAGCACCTCCCTGGGCAGCCTCACCTCACATTTGGCAACTTCAATACGTTGTTCATCAAGAAACTCAAATTTTTGGTCCCCATTCAGCCAGAGCCTGGCTGGCACTTTGGACCCAAGCAGATAATTCCATCACTTCAGTCTTTCATTCACAATGCTTTAAAATCGCAGCGCCCAGCAGCTGTAACAGACACTGGTGACCCATCCCCAAGACAGCTAAAGACACGAGTGCAGTATACAGAGATCAGCTCCACCTACAAAACCAATCCATTACTGTAATTACATGGACCAGAAGTCCTACAAACACATTGCATCATTAGCTGGTCGTGTGCCAAAGGCGAGGAGCTGGCCTGGGCACAGCTCAGCAGCGATGATTCCACTCTGCATCACTCATTATTCCCCAGAACCCCAAAGTTAAAACAGCACCTTTCCTTCACGCATTCAGAACACACACACCCTCTCTCTCAAATGAGTAAGGAATAAAGCTTAAGAGGGAATAAAAATAAACAGCCTTGAATGTAACTTGACATTAATAAAGCTTAAGAAAGGATTAGGCTAAGCTTAGGAAACACACTTGGTTCCATTCAGCAGCTCCTTAGGGCTTCCCTTCAGAGCACACTGAGGCTGCAGCAGCCCCATTTGGGCGTGCAATACACAGCAGTGAGGAACAGCCTGAAACTCAGCTCTCTTCATTCGCCCTGCTGCTGTGCTGTTACCTGTCATGTCAGCATTGAGGAGCTCCCAAGCCTTATTAGGTGCATCACAAAGAGAGCAGCTGACAGAACAGTCCAAGGTCCCGTGAAGAACAGCAGATCTTCAGCTCTTCAAAACGAGGACAAGTCAAGCAAACAGAACTGCTCAATATTTTGTAGGGCTGCAGCTGCTTTGAACTGCAAGCACTGATAAATGAATAGAGCACCAGGGGACATTCAGGTTGGGAATCAGGAAATATTTCTTCTCCAAAAGAGCGGCGATGCAGTGGCACAGCTGCCAGGGAGTGGTGGGGTCACCATCCCCAAAGGTGCTCAAGAACCACAGGGATGTGGCACTGAGGGATGTGGGCAGCGGAGATCTGAGAGATCTTTTCCAGCGTTGAGGATTCTGAGTAATGATGCTGGGCTTTATGCACTGATCACAGCGTGCCCAATCCATCTCCTGGGGACAGGCCCAGCTGGAGGAGGAAATTTCTTGCAGGAGTGAGTGAAGGAAGCACTGCAGTGAGCAGATCACCCTGAGCGCCCAGGGATGGAGCAGGAGTGGATGAAAACTTGCTGCTAAAATAGCAGCCCTAATTCCAGCACTAACAGCCCTGATCCCAGTGGGCACCACGATTAGGGGCTTAATGGAGAGCCGGCACCTCCCTCGCTCCCGTCATCAGCACTTTGGGTGGGATTAGAGGGCAGGAGGTGGATCTGTCACCGTGCTGCTGCAAGGACACGGGTGGGCCATGGTGATGGAGGACACCGAGGATGGCTGGCTGCTCAGATTATCTCGTGGCTGTTTGGGGATTTACCACTGGGCGCTTGGCAATTAGAGGCAGGAGCTAAGATTAGAACAGCCAGAAGTCTTCCTGGCTGCAGGACACAAAGGACACTTTCCATGCTCTGAATATTCCCACCTGTGTGCAGAGACCACTCGCACGTGCAGTTGTGACACTACAGCCATGCAGATATCCACCTCCCACAGCACCCTTCAGTGCGTCCTTACCCTTCCAGAGGAGGAAATCCAGGGTCACTGTCCCTGGAGGTGTTCCAGAGCCATGGGGATGTGGCACTGAGGGATGAGGGCGTGGTGGGGGTGGGCTGGGATTGGGGATCCAAGAGGTCTTTTCCAACGTTAACGATTCTATGATTCTCCAGTCCTGTTCTTCTGCCTACAAAGAATCAGGAAAACAAAAAGTTTGGAGTTAAAAGGAACAGCAATCCTAGGTTTCTCACTATGGTAGAACAGGGAAACATTTCCTTGTGCCAAACAAACTACGGGCCTTAGAACTAAGCAGCAGACCTTTCCAGCATCTTCTCTTCTTCTGCCTACCTGTTTGTTAATCATCAGACCTCACTGCAGGTCTTCCACTGGTTTTTCTTTTCGTACGTGCACTCACTCCTGAGACTCAGCATTCCACCTCCAGTCACCTCCATCACAGAATAGCTTAGGTTGGAAGGGACCCCAAAGACCATCAAGATCCAACCCCACTGCTGCATGCAGGGCCACCAACCTCCACATTTAATACCAGCCCAGGCTGCTCAGGGCTTCATCTAACATGGTCCTGAACACCTCCAGGGATGGACGGGGCATCCACAGCCCCTCTGCAGCTGTTCCAGCACCTCATTGCTCTCTCTGTAAAGAACTTCCTTCTGGTATCCAACCATAACCTTCCCTCCTCCCAGAGACATGCACAACTGGGGCTACTTAATCCTTGGAATGTCCCAGCACTCACACACCCCTGTACCACACAAACATGGCACTGCCTCATCTCCCTTCTGCCCAACCCACCTCTACAAGCACCCAGCTGTGGCAAGTCATCCATCTCCAGCTGCACTTCTGTACTCCGCTAAGGTCACTCATCGACACAGAATCTGACAGATATTAAAATATAAATTACAGGATTAAATAAGATTTTATTGTCACATTTAACTGCTTTGTCAGAGATGTACATTTTGCAGGTTTCTGTGCGGAATAAAAATAAAACCAGAGTTGCCATCTTGTCAATTCCCATCTCAACGCGCACGGACAGCCGAGCTGCAGGCGCTCACCGACAGCAGCAACGCACCCAGAACCAGTTCTGTTCAATGGACTGCAAATCCCAAAGACAAAATGCAACAGCTTAAGGCTAACGAGAATCGTGTAAAATAGTTAAACCAGCCCACGAGATGCTGAAGGGTGGAAGCACTCCACAGAAGAGTGGCACTTTTCACATCTCCTTTTGCTCAATTCAGTACAGGTAAAGAGAGGCGAACGAGCAGAGCTCTTCCCACACACACAACACTGAAGTGCTGAAGTCTCAGTCTTTTGCAAATCTGATGCATTCCCACCTTTGGTGTGACTGCTTTGTTCACCAGGGTATAAACCACAAGTGGTTGCTCACACCTCAACACGACAAATGCTTACGATGCCCTCATCGTAAACTGTGTGTTTTCTCATTTACAGATCAGGGATTAAATCCAATAATACACAACATTTCAGTGGCATAATTTCACATGTTTTGGGCAACGTTAGTATACAAGCAGTAATTAAATAAAAATAAGTGCATCCAAACATGAAATTCTCTAAATACACCACACTTCATTTATCCCAAATGGCAATTTTCTGATGAGCTGCAGTTCAAATTAAAATAATCATTTACACATTTCATCCAGAGGAAAAGAGGTAATAAACCCAGGGGACTCTCCAAACGATCTCCTCCCACCCCATCCCCTATTTATTACATAAAATAACTCATCCGGAGGCGTCAATCCAATATTCAGATGCAAATAAAACGCAAGAAGCAGTCTCTGCTGTTTGCAATTTGCAGACTCCAAAGTCCAACCACGATGGAATTTACCACTTCTGTCAGTCATTTGCTCCTGTATGTGCACTTTGCATTCATACTAAAATAACAAACGAGACAATAAATGAGGCTAGTGTGGCATACAGTCGTTGTAAACCCAGCAAAACCAGAAGAGTAACATTTATGACATTCATTCGGGTGATTTCTCAGCCATCCCACCCCCCCGACACCCTTTACAGAAAAGAAGGCAACCGACACTGTAAGTGATAGACACATTCTGCTAGGAAAAATGTTGAAACGAACCCCTTCTCTGTTAGAAGAGCATGCCATAGAAGGTAGACTACATCTGCTCCAGTCAGGCTTCTCCCAATTCCCAACATCTCTCTGCTTGCAAAGGCCAATTTGGCTTATCACAGAAAGCTATTTTGAAGGCGGCCGACACAATTTGTTTTCCCTTTCAGAAATTAAAATTCAAGGCATGATAGTGCAAGAGGTAAGTTTTGATTTGAGAACGTTACTTGTAGACTAACTGTGCTTAGTTACTACAACCCAATTTATTGTCTTAAAGAAAATACGGCAACAAAAGCTACAGGATTTCTATAAATTTCATTTTGCCTAAGTTTACCAGTACATCCATGAACCTCATCAGTATTAGTACAACTTGATTATCCTAATGATTCCATTACAAAACTTGCAAAATGTATCACGAGGTGAATCAACCATCTAGTGCAAGTCTTCTACATCGTGTGCACAGTAATCCTGTGTAGTTCATCTCCTCCAGGTTTAATCCCCAAAGTCTCTCTGTAACGACGATGAAAAACAGTGTCACATCCTTTTTGTTTTGTTTTTTTTCCCCCCTATCAAATCTGAGAAGTTTGAGTGTTCCTGGAGTCACCATCGGGATGTGCTGGAGGCCGTGAATCCCTCGTCTGTGAGTATTCACTGTCAGAGGACTCTGTAGGTTCAAGCAAGTTCTCGTAGTCACTGTCTTCTGATTCGTCAACGCTGTCACCGGCCGCTCCTTGGGAGGATGGCGCGGATGCTCCATTACCAGCATATTTCAACCCCGTGTTTGTCGAAACGTAACCAGAAGACCCCACTGCTTGGGGTCGAGGCATAAAAACGCTGCTTTCCAGGAGGCTGTGACCCACAGTACTTTCTTGACTGGCTGCACTGAAATCCGAATACGGAGGCGGAGGATCGGAGACGTCCGAATCTTCAAGCGTGCAGCCTTCCACTGCAAATCCAGTGTAGGACATTCGTGGAACAAACATCGGTTCCAAGTTATCTGCTGGCATTTGCCTACTTAAAATTGCTTGCTGCAATCCTAGAAGAAACAAAGCAAAGACGGTGCACTTAATGCTTTCCTAAAGTGCGCTGCAAAGCCACCAACCTACAGCCACGTCCACCCAACCCTTACCCTGCTCACATTAAGATCCCTACAAACAGCTGCATGAAGTTTCCATGACTTGATGCTTTTCCTTCTGTTTTCTGACCTCTACATCACAAAGCAGCCATGCTGAGGCTCGCTGTGCCTGTGACTCTTCATTTTGTGTGCCTTTCATAGTCAAAACAAGGCCAAAAGCCACAGATATGCCTTGCCTTCAAGGATTTCACAGACTCAGCTTTTCATAGTGAACAGTGAGTAGCATGAGCAGTACTTGCATTCCAACCTTGATGATGGAATGTAATCAGCACGTGCTTATTAAGATTACAGATGGTGCTATGCTACTAATAGCCACCAGCATAACAGAGTATCAGAAAAGGAATTTCAAAGTGATCCTAACAAATGAGGTGATTAGGAAAACAATTTATGGAAGACACACATAGGAATGACAAGCTGCACAAACTGCACAATAAGGGACAGCTGCACCCTTCTGCAGAAAAGAAACTGAGGCTTGCTGCTGATGGAACAGGCATCACACGTGTGTTGTGTGCAATGACACAACTGGGATGCTGCAGTTCATTTTAGGCACTGCAGGGTGAGAAACATGGAACCATTGGAGAAATCCTGCAGAACAGACAGACACGGCCTAAGAGGACAGACTGAAATAACTGGGATCATTAGACAAGACCGAGGAAACTGCTTAAGCCTTCAGACACACAAGGAGGGTATTATGGAAAGTTAATTAGAAGGCAGCTTAAGTTGATCGTATCGTACATTACACACGAGGAGAAATGCTGTGCAGTAACACTTCAGTGCTGGGACAGACTGAGGTTTGACTGGTTTCTAACTGGTTATTCACCTCCAACCATCTGTCAGAACTGACACTCGTGTATTTAAGGCTGCCTTGCAGCTAAGTGCTAGACTGAGTGCTATCAGCTCAACCGAGCACACACCTTGCTTCTGGAAAATGCAAAAATCAAAGCTGAATAGTTTCTATAATCAAGCCAGCCACTCTCTCTTACCTAAACAAAAGGGCACATTTCCCTCAAGCATCAGAGGAAGGAGCTAAATAACAGAATGCAGTTTCAGTCTGCAATATGAGAACTGTGATGGGGGGCTTCCTGGCATCTGGGAAGTGCGCAGCCTGCACCCCAGAACACCAACAAAATCATTTCAGTGATCTGCCACAAAGCCTCAGCTGACTCTGTGCTCCAGTGTTAGAGCCACAACCCATCACCCAAACATTCTCAAGAAAAGCGGGCTTTCACACGATGCCACCACAGGAATCTGCATCAGATGCTCCCTTATCTTCCAGCCCAGAGACTGATTAGCTGGAACAACTCACTCACTAAAACCAAGGAAATTCTCCCAATATTGAGACAGTGCGAGAACAGAAGGCCAGCTTCACTATTTAGCTACTTGCATCTAAATATATTAGAGATACAAGCTGCGTGTTTTCTTGTTTCAGCTCCCTCTGGCATCAGTTCTCAGTCCAGCACTTCCATCTCTCTGGTAGTATCTGGAGACTCACACTGACTGCTCTTCCTCCTCCGCTCCCAGCTTCTGCCATATGGGCTGAGATCAGCTCCAGCCTCACTACAGAACCAGCTCTGCCTCTCGCTGGTGAGGCAGCAGATCCCTGCCTGTTTCATCACCAGCCAAGCAGGAAGCAACAGTGACTCATGCTGCTTATGCCTTGCAGATAGGCTGTGACTGATTCTTCACCTCACCTGCGAGGTTCAGGGAAGGAGGAACCTCACTGAAGGCTCAAGTTTGATCTGAACTACTAACGTGGTAACAGCAGCTCACTGGAGAAAAAAGCATCCCATCAGAGCAACAGAGCGGCCCGTTGCACAGGTTATCAACCAGCACAAGCCATCTTTCAACCTCAGACAGATACAGATGTCTGAGATACAGATACAAAACCAATAAAAAAACAGAAATTGAGTATTCCAAAACATGGGAAGACAGGAAGTGT